TTTATAAAACTTTTTTAACAAATTTTATTATACCGAAACATAATTAAGTCATACAACAATTTGTATCCAGTACATTCACATCATTCATAGTTACAACGATAAAATTAGTTTAAAATTTTTACAAAATTTACATCTTATTTTTATTACAATACCCTTTTGTTGTTAATTACAGCCTCGCCATGTCCGTGATGTGATTGCATAGAATTCACACATTTCGGTTCGCTCTACCTCGCATTTCATGATGCATGTATCGAAAAATGCACAATCAGGCGATTCAACTTTTCCATCAAGTTTCATCAACACTTAGACTTAAATAGGCTACTTTATTTATAAATCTGGAAGGAAATAATGAGTACTACAATCAATTAAAGCTTTTTATTATTCTGATTGCATCTCTCATAAACTGATAGATTTTTTAGCACTGCAAAAAGTTATTATTTTTATATTTGGAGAGAAACAGAAAGATCTTATATAAGAACTTTGAAAATCTATTTTGACTATCTATTCCCCTGTCTAAACATTCCATAATCATAATCGGATGGAATTATCATAATTAGATATTGATGATTAGAAAAACACATCGATCAAACATAATTATATGACCATACAAATTGGTTTTTTTTCGTACTGTTTTTTAGAGAAATCAATATATTTATATAAGGAGTAATAAACTGAGTTAGCTTTTTAATTATGACTGCTCTGATTATTCTCATTTGACATTCATACAGATGGATAGCCTTGTTACTACTACCAGATGCTAACATCCTGCTGCCAATAGAGAAACCGACTGACATTACAAATTTTAATGATTATCAAATTTGGCTCTTGCGAGACGAGCATTTATTTTAATCACGAATAAAACAGATTTATCTAACATCATCGCTCTAAGCATCCAGACAGAAAGATTTATCTATATTACCAAAAATTTTATGTATTTCCATCAGATGAGAAACAGATTGAATTTACCCAACTACGATGCCATCTCACCTGGTTTCTACCAAACCTTATTCGCATCTTTATAGGCAGAGCGACCCCAACTATCAGAAGCCTCTATATTTCTCTAACAGACTTAAATTACCCTATTCTCCTGGCAATTGCATTCTGTTGCACTTTTTAAAATCCCTTTAAATTGATAGACTTATCTTTACTATTAGAGGCTCATGTATTTCTATCAGAAGAGAATCAGAATAACATTACTCAAATCCTATGGTCATTTAAAGTTTTTTTTTTATTCTGTTTTAACAATCCTTATAGACAATTAGACTCATATCTACTATCAGAAGCTATTATATTTCTATTAGAAGACCAACATTACCCAATTCTAACGACCATCTTTCTTGGTTTTCCATCAAGTAATTTTAACATCCTTGAGAGATTACCTATAAGTTTAAAACCCTTACATATGTCCTCTATTGATTATCTAGACATCAAGAACAGTCCAAAAATGGCTCACTATGAACTATAAAATTCAAAGCTCATAAAATAGGTCTAACTTGAGAAGCCTTACTATTCATATGATTCCTAGTAAATAGAAAAGATCTACTCCTTTAACTGTTTTACTCGTTATTTCACTTATCTTAGTGCAAAAATCACTCATTTTACTTATTTTAAATAGTGAACAAGATTTTGTTCAGTCATATTCCAATCTGTAAATTATAAACTGAAATTTTTATTTATACTTAAATATAGATGACAAAAAATAGGGATGAATCAATCAATCATAGAACTCAACTTATGTATATATTTAAATATATCATATAAAAATAAGATATTCTATATTCTTCAAGAATCTAGCTATGCAAATGTTAAAATGAATTTTCAATTCAATATTCTTCCTCTTTTCTTATCAATTTCGAATATACACAATGTCTAAACTTCAAAATTGCTAAAATGCATAAGATACAATTTACGATTTTTTCATT